AGCCAGATGTTGTAGGTGTAGTTGTTTTTAGTAATGATAGAGAAATTCAAGAAGGTAACTTTGTAAAAAGAACTGGTTCTATTATCATTGTACCTGTTGGACCTGAAGTGTTAGGAAGAGTAGTAGATGCTTTAGGTCAACCTGTCGACGGAAAAGGTCAAATTTATAGAAAATTAGAAAGTAGAGTTGAAGTTAAAGCTCCTGCTTTTTATGTCTAGAGAAAGTGATAAAGAACCTGTACAAACTGGTCTCAAAGCTGTAGATAGTTTAATTCCTATCGGTAGAGGTCGAAGAGAGTTAATAATCGGTGATCGACAAACTGGTAAAACTTCGATTGCTATTGAATCGCCGAGGTCGCCGAGATGGTTCATATTGCAAAACGGCCCCCACAGACCACCAAACCAATGGTATCGGACGCGTGTTACAAAGGTTAAAAAGTGTAGTTAGTATTTATGGAACTTAGGAATTTGGCGGAAATGGACAGGCTAGTAATAGGCGCTATGCGTCAAGGGATAAACTCGCTGACACGTTTAGCACATGCGCGTATAGGTACGGTCTTCTAAAAAATCTCTTCTCTCCTTTTTCTTTCTCTTTTCCTTCTTTTACATGTTCGCCCATCAGACTACAGTGCCCTCTGAGCCATATATGTCTTTCTCCTCTAAGGTGGCTACCGAATGGGGTCATACAGTGATGAGTACGCGGAGCTCTCGTACAACCATATGTTGTGTTAGCGCTCCTTAAGTAGCGAATACAGGTGCGAATAAGTCTAAAAATTAAAGAAGTGGCACCTAATCTTAAAACATCTGGCTTCACAATGCTTTCAGCAACGGACAAATGTTTTATCCAACCCAAACTTTGTACATATCGCCTCATTGATGCTCGAAGATATAATCACGACATGTGATCTCTCATAGCCGAAGCGACGCAAAATTGTATCCGTCACTGCATTAAGCCAACTCGGCTTTGTATCCCAAGTTTTTGGCAGCGAAGACAACCATCTTGTTGTTATTTCCGGAAAGTGTGGTGACGACGCCACTATACGCAGCAACGCATGATCTTTAAATATACTTAGCAAATCATTTCCCCCCGAGCTTAAAAAAACATACATCGAATAAGTAGCTTTGTCAAAAGCTGCGTAATTCTTCTCTACTGCTTTATGCTAGCAAAATTCAAACGCGACGACGAGTTTATGCTCATTAACGTTTGCTTAGAATATTCCGTGAATCATAGCAAACGTCAAAGCAGTACCGACAACATGACATGACCGATTCTGATTCGGAAGGGTTTATTGGGGCACTTATAGAGTTTTCTGCTGAAGACTTTAAGGCCGCCTTTTCTGCCGCACATACAGCACCATTCGGCAGAACAAAAAGCGATATGGAATGCGGTTATGCCACAACAGTCCTTGTGCAAGAAGCTGGGAAGGCAAAGGCACTTCGGTGAGTCCATTAGAAACAGAAACAATATCCGATCTACTTTGGCCTTTACTGTTGAGAGATCTGCCTGTAGATTCTGCTTCCGAACAAATTAGCCGAGAGAACAATTGTGACGGTGCCAAAGACGAACTTGTCAATATAGGTGAACATCTTCTTCACAGCAAAGAAACTCGGGACATCCAGCAAGTGCATAATATGAGCTTCAATATCCAATTCCCACACTGTGCAAGACTGTGGACAATTTTTTCGTTAAAATCGCTTTGTGCATAGGCAGCAGCTGTTAGCTAAACAGTGTTGCTGGCTAAGGCGCTACCAGCTGGCCCGTGCGAAGCGTTTTCTGCAGCGAGAAGGGCGTCACAAGCACTTCAAAAAATTATTAAATCGTCGAAGCCGATTGCATTGTTCAGCAGCGCATTCGCTATAAAAAGTAAAGGTTGGACCGGGTATGTAGTTTTTAGCTGATTAAAGTCACGCGCTACCCGTCACTTGTTGTCAGTCTTTTCGTCACCAAACGCTGGCGCCGAGTAAGGATAACTACTGTATCTCATCGAACCCTTGTTGCTTCGAGCAAAAACTGCGTCTGTAATGTCAGACTATTCCCTTGTTATATCTGTTGTTTGTAGCGCAGTATCTGATTTTAGGAACCAACCTAGTTGTTATTTTACATTTCTCGATTCGAAGGCAATACGCGTGAGTCGCTAGCCACGTCGCGATAGTTATTCAACAAAGTTTCTCAGGAATCCAGAGGATCCTTAATGATGGCTGTCTCATCTTTCTCACTCTTATATCTACTATTGCTCTTAATGATGGCGGTTGATGAGTTCAGCTCCGTGATTACCGGCTGTACCATTTTCGAGACTTCATATCCTCACTACGCATGCAACCAAACGCTATAAGCAAATCCTTGAGCTTTTATGTGGGGTTCTGCTTGATGCAGTGATAGGAATATTGTACGCTCTGTAACACTCCACTCACTCAATTCGCAAGTGGAAAATCTTCTTACCGCAAACGTGTGTAAGATGACTTTTCACAGTGGGTAAGTCAGACGGCAGTGCTACATCACAAGCACCGTAATGCGATGACAATAATAGTAAATCCTTATAACTCCACATTGCGGTGGCTCTACTTGCATTCTGGACCTGTCCCACGGTTTTGGCACAGGAGATTGCGACACAATCTTGCTTTTGCTTGTCTGCACTGACTCAGGCACATAAAACACCTGCTTACATTAATGATAATAGCCCTACCAAATATACGCTTTAAAGACCACGATATACCATCACTCAAGTTGTATCAGCTTATACACACTCTGGAGATCAATATACGATCGCATTTTTCTGACATATTGTAAAACAGCTGCTCGTTGCCGCTATTTCGATTCGAGGTTGATCAATAGTATTGCTCGTCCAGTAAACACTACTATATATTGTACGAAATTTATCACAACTGCATGCCCGCACCAAACTGCGCTTGTACTTGTTGAAAGAAGTGGGCTCATGGCTTGCCAGAGCCTCACTAGCAGAGGATTAAGTACCACCTGACCTTTTGACGTCAAGCTGTTTCATTGATCATGGCATTCAACACGCCCTACCTAGGATGAGATCGCAGCTTAAATACGGGTATAGGGCGGACAACGTTTCACAATACCAAAGTCGTCACATCTCAATTAATGATGAAAACAGCTCTAACATCTCTATGAAATAGGGCGCATGGATATTGTATCCATATTCAAGGTCTTTTATACATCTCAGTACTTCTTTTACAGTCGTGCATTGTACATAATTTGCAGTGAGCTGT